GGGGCCGTCGTACCCACCTGCACAGGATCCTCTCCTCCTCGGGACCAAGTGCTCCTTCGCACGCACGGTAAACATTTTTGCAGGTGAACACGTGAGATACGTTGCACGGACGCGACCGACCGGACCGACCAACGAACCAGCGAGTCTCCCAGTGGCCCGATATATAGGGGATACGATAATTGCCGGCTCGCCGTCGGCCAGCTTCCATCGCGATTGTTCCCGCGGAGATCGCGACCCGGCTCTGCCTTTCGGCCCGGAAGCGCCCGATCCGAACCAGACGCGAACGATCTCGACGATTCCTCGATCGATCGCCCCGTCACGGTCGGCCGAAAATCGTCCGTGCGATAAGGTAGCTGACCCACTGGGCCGTTCGCTCGCCAACAAACGATTCCTTCCACGAAAAATTATCTTCGCAACGTACCGATTTTCTTCAAATATATTAGGTCAAGTCCGACCGTAGCGTGTCCGTCTCCGTTTCTATCATTCTACTTTCTTCCCCCTTCTTCGCGACACTACCCTACAACCCTCGATGAATTTTCTGCGCCTCGTGCAGGCGATCAAGTCCTCCCGTGTTAGGAGTTTCCCCTAATTGTTCCATCAACCTGCTCTCCTCGTCGCGTATCCCATAAACTTTTCTTCTAGTTGCTATATTTACCATCGTTGGTTATTCCTTTTTTTGCGCGGTTAACTAGATGGGCGTCTCCGAGTTTAATTTCGCGGAATTACGGCGTTGGACCAAAATGAGAATGACTCAATATTTATCCACAAATATTAGGAAAATGGCTATCGTTCAACGTTTCCCCGATCCTGCGCACAGCCTGGCGAAACACCCACGGATTTCTCGAGGCTCGAGTTACTCTATAGTTCAAAGTGTATTTTGGATCTCTGCCTTGGTTCCTCGATATTCGGGGTAAGCCTCGTCTCTCTGGAGGTCCGGCTTTCCCGGCTCGACGCTGGAAGCGCGCAGACGCGCGAACAACGGCCACGGATACGCCTTGTGTTATGCAATTCGATGTTATTTATCGTTGCATGGAAAGTCGCTCGGGGCTTGCAAACTTACGATTCCCGAAACAAATCGTTTACACTTTCGTGCCAAAAAGCGATTTCTACAGACACACAGGTTGATCGAGCGATCTCTGCGACTTGTTTCGGGATCTACGGAAACGGTGGACTCATAATTGAAAGATCGACGGAGAATCGCCTGGAGACAGAAAGATTTTCGCGAGGACGATGGTCCCAGAAGAGGATAATACCAGAGGGGGAGGGAAGCTCGTTTCCCTCCGCGGTTACGATCCTAACGGTTTCCCTCCGCGGTTCGCGCACGTGAACGCTCTCGAAGCGGCGCGTTATCTCGTCTACGGCGGCGGTATATAACCGAAGATCAGAAAAATACAGCCGCCGGGTGGAAAGGCGGAAAAAATGACAGCACGTTGGAGGTGGACGGGCGTGTTTGTGTCTCCGCTCCTCTTCCTCTCTTCCTCTCTTCCTCTCTTCCTCTCTTTCTCCGTCGCCTTTCTCGAGCGTGCGAGCGCGCAAGATCGTTCGGGCCGATTGCATCCTCGCGCGCGGAGAACGAGAACCCGACAGTGGAAAGCGACTATCGCGAACGCTGGACTCGACCCTTACCTCGAGCGAATATTCCCGATGCTTTCGTTTCTAGCGCCCGGGCGCAACGGTGTTTCGATCCGGAAACCTGCGTCTCTTAACGCGTGGAAGGTGGATGGACTGGAGCAAGGACAATCTGTTTAGGTTCGTACAAATGTAACGAAACATTTTACTCTGGATGACTTAGCTAAATTCGTATCAACGCATGCAGGGATGCACCAATTTTCGCAAGACTTTCTATTCCATGTTCGCGCAGGCAAACGATACCTGAACTATACGGGTAATTTTATAAACTAGGACAGGTTGTAGCTCTTCTCTAAGTGAAAATACACGAAATCGATGCAGGAAAAAGTTTGATACCCAAATGGGGAATCTTTCTATTAAATTTTCAAGTTAATTATCGAGTCTCGTGGAGACAGTGTGCGGCTGGAGCCGGTTGATCGAGGTTCCAGTGTACTTGAATGGACGAGGCTCCGGGCGTAATTTCGATGATCCGTTTCGCGGGAAAACCGGGGGGGTCGGTTGCCCGGTTGCGATTAGCCGCGCGCGTGTACCGTAAACGAAGCAATTTCTAATTTCACCGCGACTATCGCGGGCGTACGGACGAGGAGGGGGAGAACACACACGGTCGTACCCTTCGAAAATCTATCGAGGTTTCGCGTCTCTACGCACCGCGTATTTTTATCGAACCGTCGGAGGAGCGGCGGTTGGTTGCTTAGGCGCTTAGAGGTTCTCGTTCGGTGGCTTCTCTCGACTTTTTATTTTTAGAAATCGCGTACGCGCGCGCCCCCGTCGAAAAATTCCCGCGCCCGAGCGCCCGGAGAACTCTCGTCGGCGGCGCGAGTTAAGTAGCGGAGGCTAGTCGCCTCGCCGAGTGGAATTGGATCGCGACGATAGTGAAAGTGGCGCGAGCGCGCGAGCGCCGTGCTGCACGCGGAAAGGAATAAAGAAAGGTGGAAAAGAAGCGAGCCGCGCGAGCGCGAGCGGGTGCCAGGGGAGCTGCCCGAGCGTACCTTAAGGTGGATGAAAGTTATCGGAGAAAGCCAATTGGCAGCGTCGAATCTCGCGAGGCGCTCGCGACTAGCGCTACAAACGATCGAATCGCAATCTCTGACGTCACACTACGATCGTTACGATCACGGTTCCGCGAATCTTATTCCTGGATTAACAAGCACGAACCGTCTGTGTGACCCTTTGAAAAATCCAGCAAAGAAAATTTCAACGCGACGAGCTATTTTCAAAATTGGGACTCGAGTCTTGGGAAGTATCGAACGATTCGCGAGACTCGAACTCGAACTCGAACTCGAAGTCGAACGTCCGTGATCGCGCGCGCTCGAGAGTCCGTGCGAAGCGGCGCGTGTAAGCGGCCGGTCGCGCGCGCACACCAAAGCGAAATAAGTGCACCGGTGTGTGCAACGATCGGCGGCGAGTGCGCGGTGTGTGTACAGCGGGCAGCCTTTACGTAACTCCGTGGCGTTCCTCTTTCCGCGCCGCCGCAGGGCCGAACCTACGCGATCGCGATCCCCGCCTCTCCCCCACCCCCCGGCGAACCGAAATCCTTTTTCTAATGGAAACGCGATGCTAGCCCCGCGGCCGTACGCCGGGGCAGTCATGCACGGTGAATACTTTCGCCGTTGCGAATAATTAACGAAACGTCTACCGGCAGGAAATTACGGGAGACGATCGCGTGCCATCGGGGCCGGTTCGTAATTTATCGTTATCAACTATTCATTCCCGACGATAATTCAGCCGTTCCCGGTACTGAAAAACAGCAGTCAATGGCCGAAATTGGAGTAGCGTTTTAACACCGGTACTACCGACGATCATAGTGTGTTTATTTCTACCGAAGAAATTGAAACGATAGATACGCGGAGAAATATAGAATGCAATGGAAATAAGTGTTTATATATTCTCTAGAAAATTACGATAAATTTTCAAAAATTCAGTCGAGTAAATTTTTTACAAGTTTTATTAGAAATTGTGGGTCATTTTGACTGCTTTGGTAGTTCTAGTGTTGAATGATTGGTGGGAATCTTTTAACCAGTCGATATGCTTTAACCCTTTGCACTGATTCAAGCTCACTTTCTTAACACTTTGACGGCCGCTGTCACGTGTGCGTGATCTACCGTATCAGTCACCATTTCATTATTACGTTTGTTGAGGTTACATTTATAATTCCTTATAAGAATATTCCTAACTTTGGTCTACAATATCAGTAGCGAAGGATAACGGTCTTCGCGTGATACGTGCGGCCATTAAAGTGTTAAGAAATAGATAGTAGATCGAACGTATCTTTTTCTACATTCCTTGCTTATGTATTTTTCATTTTAAAACAGTAATATCATTGTGTTTCCTTAGAGGGGTGAAAAGGGGTTAAAATTGCAGAATTTCCTACAAAGTTACATGTTCAGGATCCTTCAGTTGTAACTAGCCTACTATACTGTGAAGTTCGTCGAACGATCGGAATTATTAGTCATGTTTTAGACGTTAGATTCGAGCGTAAGTTCCATCACGGTTTTCTGACCGCCGCACGCGTGCAGAACGTACACAATCGGATTAATTAATGATAAGATTTACTGCGTACGGTCACACTATCCCGAACCGTAATCTAATCTCAATGAATTCAAATGTAGGCTGTAAAGCCCACATTTTCTCGTTCGAAAGCATCCACCGCGAAGCAAAACGTAGCAATCATTACGGAGCGTTCTTTATTGGATCTTTCGTCGAATTAACGAAAACTCTATTTTTGTCCTCTGTGGTGAAAGGGTTGAACAGAATCGTGGGGGCTCTGAAAATCTCGCGCCCTGCAAGACCGAGAGCACGCGCGTTTGATTTTTCTGGTACGCAGACCAGTCGAGACGACGTCTTCGGCCTCGTCTCTCCGCTGTCGTCGTATGCGTAATGGCTCGTCCCGACGCGCCGGTAAAAAGCGAGCAAAAAGCCCGAGAAAACTAGAAGCCAAGATGCTATCGGGGCGCTTCTCTCTCCGCGTGCTCCGTACAAGGATGAACGATGATTTGTCGACGAACCGACGAGGCGCGAGAGCCACATAAATTCTTATTAGCACGCCGTTACGACGGCCTGTAAAAATTCCAGGCCGGGATAATGCCCGAACGACGTCCACTCGTTAGGGTGATAACTATCTTGGCTCGTGGGTGAACGCAACCCCCTCTCAGTTCGATGTCTTCTTCCGGCGATCGATATTTCGAGGCTTTTCACGCCGTTCGAAATTATCGGAGCGTTTCCAGGTCGGTTGCAGGTGTCTCGAATCGGTTACGCGGGCTGGCTTTCGGCCGAAAGGTGCAACCGTTTGCCCATCGAGCCCTTAAGCCGGACAATAGCCTCGCGGAGCGAACACAACATTCGTGTCAACGTGGTCTTTTTCTGGTGTGCAGCGGCCGTGTCCAGAACGAGGAGGATAGGAGGACGCACGGGGGACATAGAGGGAAGGAACGTCCTCTCGAAAATGCAAAAGACTCTCGGCCCGTTAGGAGTGCTTCACGAATGCATGCAAAGCCGGACCCGCGTCAAGGTAGGTCACGATTTCTTCCATTCCTAGCTCTTTTCCGAACGGTCTCTCGTTTCCCGTGTACTTGTATCGGGAACAGGAGGCATGGAATCCGACCAGAAAACGCTACACCGAAATACCAACCCTCGAACTATCAATTTTATTGTTCCATGGTAACCCTTAACCCCTTAGCTCACGATGACGTCTCAGAGACGTGATAAGTCCACCGGGGCAATCCTTGGTGTCGCTTTTGACACGCACAGTTGGAAATTAAATCGTAAGGCAAGGGGTTATTTTAAAAAAAAAAATAGGATGAACAATGGTTTTGACTTGATTCCCGTGCGGACTATAGCGACACGTGTACTGAAGGTACACACAAAATTTGAACGAAATCGGTCGAGTAGATCTTGAGATATCATGAGAGCCAATTCGGAGAAGGCAGTTTTGAGAAAAACGCATTTGAGCAGAAGAATCAATACGTATACTTTCGTTAATTTTACGAGTTCGGTGAGATGCTTGTGCTCGAATAAAGAAAATCGATTTTGTTGACGGTTTACAGCAGAGGAGCCCCTTAATCCGATATGACGCGTGTTTGACGGAAATACAAGCGTCAGCGGAACGTGGGGGTACGCGTTAAACAATGTTTTCCTTAATTAATCCCGTTGGAAATGGAAAAGGGAGGAGATATTCCAGCGACGAAGACGCTCGTAGGAAGACAATGGCGTTCGACCGTCTCGTTTCGTCCGTGACGGGGGAAGGATGGAAATTCGAGGGTTGTCCTGAAAACAGTACAGTAAACACCCACGCTTCCCATTTCTGCCTGACCCCCTGGTATTGTACGCGGCACGCACACGCGGCTGACACACTTTCGCGACCGGGAGAGACACGTGCGCGAGCCCTTCTCGAAGGTGAACGACGAGGGCTGAAAAAGCCCGAAAGGTACGACAGGGAAGAAAAGCCGGTTAACTGTTCGGGTCAACACTCGTCACCATGGCGACTGCCGTGGCCCTTCCTCGACCTGCCTACGCCACTGGGTCTTTCTGCTTCTTCGAAGGGTCGTTCTAAAAGAGACAAGGTCGTGCTTCGAAAAGCTCTCTCTCTCGATCTACGAACAGGAAACGATTCTCGAAAAACGAACCGAAATTTCGGATACGAGTTTCACGTATGGACGCGATTAACTCTGTTTCTATTCCTTCGTTTACTTATTCATGCGACCACAGTGTGGCGTGCGAAAGTTTCCGGTCGCTTGGCTTTTCTGGCTTGGAGACGAATTTTGAATAACACGGAATCAAAGTACAATGAGACGAAACGGAATACAATGAGATACGATGCAGTAGCACGTTGCTGGATAATTGTCCCCCTCGCCTACCTAGCGAACGGGTTTGCCCCGTTAGACTGGTAAATAAATAAATAATTCAGCGGTACCCTCGACTGTCGCCGCGAGTGTAAAACGGATTAGCGGGGTTTCGCAACTATCGACAGACCTGGACCGATTTTTGTTCAAAATTGATTCCATTAAAGTCGCCAAGAAAGTTGATTTCCGTCGTGGAATCGGCACGTATTTTACAATTCTCTCGATCCCCGTCACTCTTCTTTTATTTTACGATTCGAGCGTGAAAGGTCAACTTTCCGCGAACCGTGCCCCGCTCGACCTTCCTTCGATCGACGACCAAACGACATTTTTATGCGCAAATTCAATTTTCCCTGATATTCGGAATATTCGTGAACGCACCTGTAAGCTCCTAATTATCAAATAAGAAATTCTACAGTCTTTGGAGGAAAGAAATACTCGGAATTATTAGCTGAAAATAATTTGTTTAAGAGCAACGTGATTGCTTATTGTGGAAACGGAATATCGTGAGTCAGACAACGATCCGATGAAATCACGCGAAGACGTTTCTGGATCGTATCGGTGCTACGTGAAAGATCGGCCATTTTTCTCGCGGTCGGGAAATAAATCAACGAGCAAGGTCTCTTTGCGCGTATTATGCTGCTTTTCTCCTGATCGTTATAAACGAAGAGAAATCGCCGGTTCGGTAAAGGCGCGTGGAGCTCGTTCCGTCGAATCGAACCTCGAAAGGGGGAAAAATCCGCTTCCTGGCGTCGCGTCGCTTCCTACTTCCATAATTAGCCGGCATTCTCGTTCGGTAGATCCCGGCGACGGGAACCAGATCGCCGATTTCCGATCTCGCGTAGCAGGAAGTCGCGTCGCGATTTTCCCGAACTGCTCGCGAAACGAGATAGAAATCGCCGAGCGTGTGTCGTCGCGACGTCTCTTTGGAGGGACAAACGAGACGTGGAGCGTTCCTTCCGGAGCGCGATCAGGAAACGCGGCTTATTCTTTCTCTTCGTTTAACTCGATTATTAACTCTCGCGCGTGACTGTTGCGCCGCTCGGTCTACGGCCAGTTTCGCTCGAGCGAAAAAAAATGTTAATCATTAAATTGATGCAATTGATCTTCCTGCGGAAGTCGGCGACGCTGTATTCGATATTCTCAACGAGCGGAATCGAGTTCCTAATTAAACTCCTTTCGGAACCCCGATGCCTACAATGGGAGACAGGATCCGCGTTTCTCGATTAATTACTTTCATTAACTTTCGTTCGCGTTGGACGTTCGGGGGAAACATTCTACGAACTGTTAAATTTCACAGTTTCTTAAATTTGAACGAAACCTCCGAATACGAGAGAGACTTTTTCGATATTTTTCCCGGGCCGCTCCCAGTCGCGTCTGCGCAGAACGCGTGTCCTTCGGATAGATCCTAATCTCCCTCGATCCTAATCGACCTTGGACGATGCGCCTGCATCCGGAAAAAATGATTCTATCACCGGTGAACGATGGGTCGCGCTCGGCCTTCGACTGCTTCTCAAATTGCCGAAGAAAGTGCAGTTTTTTTTTACCTTCGAAACCTGTCTGTCTCCCTTTCGCGCGATTTCGACGAGCAAACGACGCAATCTCGCGGATAATGAACGGTTGCGTAACGGAGAATGCAACAAAAAAAAATATCAATTGACGAATGAGACGCGCGCGAAGGAGAATCGACGGATCGTCCTATTACGCGATTTCTATTCTTTCGTTGGCTTCGTTGTCGTTCGCCTAGCAACGATACTTTTAAAAGTTAACAATATCGAATTACAAAATGGATTCGCATTCGTACAGATACGATCTACGGAATTAAATGTACCGTGAAGCGGCCGACGAGGTTCCACGAAGAGAGGACCTCCGCAAGATTTCTACCAGGAAGAACGAAAATTTGTTTCACGATGAATATCGGGACAGCTAATCGGCTGATTGATTAGTTTGTATAGAAAGAGCGGGGGTCAGCCATTGTGCGACGCAGCTCGAGAGTCAATAACCCGATTAGCCACGTAAGCTTCCATATTTTATAAATATCGAAAACGGGAGAGAAAGTCCAATCGATAGGGGACAGACTTCGAAATAGTTAATCGCGATGCAATCGATCGATTAAATTTTTTATTTCAATCCTGAAAACCAAACTGTATTTTCCATTCTGTTTTTTCAATAATTATTGCCCGTCGATGCTGCTCGATCGTTTTTGTTTCCCCGTATCGGAATTACTCCTTGACCTAACCTAATCGCCACGATCGGTACTTTCGCGCAGACGTCAAAACAGTTCGATACAAATCGATGCTTTCTTATCTGATATCGATACCATCCCCTCCCCTCAAACATCTTTTTACAGATTGCGATTCCTTCGCGAGTGTTTTCCCTGGTTTCCAATTAATTTTTGCGCAAAGTCATCGGCAATCGACGCGAGATATCCGTCGAATATTCGAAAGGAATCGATCGCCTCGATCCGACCGCGGAGGCTCTCACGGAGCTCTGAATTTTCCGGTCTAATTGAAATCGACGGCGAAACCTTCGCGTCCGGAGCGAACGATCTTCGATTTCTAAGAGTCGTATTTGCTCCGAGATCGCCGCTCTAGCATTCCGTGTTTTCGTTCACGGCGAGCCGGCGATCGAGCAAAATCTACGGAATCGAGGCGACGCGTTCGTCCTTCGTGGTTAATCGACCGATCCTGTACCGGTGGATCAGCAAGGATACGCCTCGGAGGAATCCGGAGGACTCCTAGAATCGATTCCAACTCTCTCCGACGTGCCTCATCCTCTCAATGGCGTTCCGTCGCACGCACGAGACACGCGTGCACAGCTCAATGACGAGCTCGGGGAAAGAAAGTCGTCGGAACATTCCGAATCCTTGACGAACGATTTCGAACAACGCGCACAGGCTTCCAATTTCACGGAAACTTCTCCGTTCGTCCATAAACGCCAATCGAATTTTATACGTGGAACTCGTTTATCAATTTCAACAATTTTAAAAATATCCTCGACCGTAAATATACCGAGAGAAAGAAACGAATAATGGCGCCAAAGGTTGCGGATGTCGTCATTGTTCATTTATAGTGCCTACACGAGATATAGAATGTATCAATGACCAAAATGGACGTCGAGGAAACAAAAAATAATAATAGATCGTCCCTATAAGAAAAACAAATGTTTCTTTTTCCTATCAATTTACAAACTCGATCGATTTGGGAACGTCGAATGGCGCTCGACGAGCCTAACTGTTCGTACGCGACAGGGGGTGGGAAAAAAAAAGGTTTCGTTTCGGTAAAAGGAATCCGAGAAACAGTATCGAGCGGACGGATGCGCGGTAGAAGAAGCAGAGTGGGAGAGGCGAGTCAGCGTCGGAGTCACGCAATTAGTTTTCATTGCGACAAAGGCGGGTATATATCAGTGCGAAAGGCATTGAAGGGGGCCTTGCCACGGCTTGCACTTCCGCGTATCAGCCTGCTATCTTGTCTCGCGGCGTATCTGCGCGACAAACAACGAGCTCGCGGTTCTTTTCTCTTAGACACGATCGCGCGTACCCGTCGTTAATGCGATTGTCGCGTGGAAAATAGACGACAGACTCGCGGACACCACTTTCTTCGCGATTCGAGACGCCTCGGGGATAAAACGTTACCCTTAATTCCCCAAAGAGATAATATCACCGACTTCACCGATTCGAACATTGCAATACTGAAATTTTTAAGTTATCCAGGTTGGTCGAATCCGAGAGGGTATTTTTCCCGCGTGTCTCGAGCGACAAAAACCGTCCGATTAGTCCCTAACAAATTATGCGTGTGTCGGCGGCGGTGGGCTCGCGCAAAAAATCCCAGGATCCTCCGCGAGGCGGTCGATCGTCCACGGTGAGGAACCAGCGTGCGTCGGTGAGTCCTCTTCATCGCGAGTGCGGACACGTACGCGCGATCTGGAATAGGCGGATCGAGATGCGCGCTACGTTCGTGCACTTATTTTTCGAGAGATCGACCGCGAACACGAGTGAGACGGAGAGAGGCGGGAAGACGCGTTCGGAGAGGAAGCGGATCGGTCGGGTCTCGTTGCACCTTCGAGGCGATACGCGCGCCTGCTTTACCAGGAACGCTCGGAACCGCCGCGGCGCGTAACACGAGACTCGACGCGATTTAAAAGGAATAATCGTTCGTCCTTTGTGCCGAAGGTCTACACCAGGAACGCGTACGGCATAAGGGGACACGTGGAGGCATACGTGGCCGCCTTCGACAGGCACTGGAACCTCGCGCTCGAGGACTGCTTCGAGGTTTGGACCCGTAAAGCCAAGAGGAAAGCGCCTGCACTCGGTACACACTCTATTCTCTAAGCTTAATCGTAAAATTCTTACAGGGCATTATCATTATCCTCCAACAGGTAAAATATTAAAAATTAAAAAGAACGCTCGTTGTCTAAAAAAAAAAAAACACGCGTTTATTTTCGTACCTGTTAACAAATCGTAAACGTTGTCCGTTCTTTTCTTCCGTCTCTAATCGCGTTGAACTTTCGAAATGAAATGTTTGCACGGTTATGCAAGCGCCAGAACGCGATCGACGCGTTAACGACCGAGGCGATACGAAACGACGTTGGCCATTCGTCACCCGTTCAGGGTTAATTATTTTCAACAATTTCGAGCCGCGTGCCCCGCGAAAAACGCACGGCGTAACGTTTCGTTCCTCTGGCCTCGAAACGTTTCCATCGCGGAATATACAAATCGGCATGCAAATTTTTAAATTATACATAATGGACGCGCCGCGGCGCGAGTCCAGAATTTCAATACGACGTGTATCAATAGGCGTAGCAACGTTCGCGTGTACTCTTCGAATCCAATTTAGTCCTTCCTACGCTCGTCTGACCATGAATGACTCCTACTACTGCCCCGTGTCAATGGAACGCGCGCTCGACGACTCCCTATTCGCGGGCAAATATAAACGTGAACTTATCTGTCCTCTACGAAACTGCAACGTTCCTTCGAAAATTTCTACACACTCGAGTGTAAAGAAACCTCCCAAAATTCTAAATACTTCTATGTGTAGGATATCTCTAGAAAAATTGGTGAAAGTCAACGCGTTGATATTCTAGCTACGAGTCCGGGTCACGAATGATCCAGATGGGGTCGTGGAAGGGTTGTGACCCGTCGTATCGTCGGGCAGGTACGTTTACACCTGGAGGAAGAAGCGCAGAAACAGAAGGGTCGTTGTATCGCGAGGGATAGATCCCGAGGACGCCCCTTTACGCTAGGGGCAAAGACCGACCTTGACTACGTAGTGGTTGCTACGTTCGATACAAGGCCCGCGCGCGGCTCGCGTCGTTCGTTTCCCTTTTTTCCTCTCTTCCTCCTTCTTCCGTCCCGGGGTCCTCTCTTTCGCTCCTTCCTTTTCCTCGCTTACCACCACTCCCGTTTCCCTCTTGCTCTCGCGCGCGCCTCTTCCTTCCGTTTCGTTCTCGTTCCTTCTCCGTCGCTCGTTCATTCACGTGTTACGCTAGCCCGCACGTGCGTCCGCAATTGCATCTTTCGTCGAACACGTTCGTCCCGTCGCTGAACGCCTGCTCGTCTTTCTCCCCGCCATTTTTTTACGCGAACCAGCTATTTTCGTTTATCGTACGGTCGAATCGCGCTCGCTGCCCGATCGCTATCCCCCGGGTCCCTTTCTCGCCGCGACAAGAATCTCGTGCTCGTAAATCAACGAAATGATTCGACGCTTTTTACCGTGGGACGGTGGGGTCGGGTCGAGGAGATTAATTAATTCGCGACGAAAGGAGAGAGCACGAGGAAAAGCGTTCGACGTTTGCGCTAAAAGGTTGTCCCCCACCCCCGAGAACGGTGATCGCGGTACACACGGAGTTCAGGGTTAGTTGGCCTACTGGCGTACTTTAGGATATCCTGAGGGGTCGAGAGGTCGTTGATACGAGGCGGCCGAGGGTGGCAGGCTGAGCGACCTTGAAGAGCAACTTCCAGGATCGATGTCTGCCGTGTACACGTGTCCCAGCGACTCCGTACAAAGCCAGCTCTCCCCCTCCCGCCCTCCCGGCCCGTATCGCCCTACGCCCTTCTGCTTCCCCTCGAGACCTCGCCGGACACGTGCCGGTACATAAACAACCTTTCGAGACTTACCTCGTGACCCATCGGCATTCTCCCTTTCTCTTTCCCTTTGTTCGCGATTTCTTCGTGACGTCAAACCCCGTGAACGCTTTTTTCGCCCTTACGCCACCGACCCGACCGAACCGACATCGATACACCGTTACACGAACACGGAAAGGTTACGCGTCGCGTTCGTTAACTCGAAAAAGATAAATTTGTACAACGAGACACCGGAACCTTCTCTCGAGCCCTTAAACATTTCCGTATCGTTGTCGATAACCGACCGTACGAAGCTGCAAAGGACAAGATATTTCTGTATCCAGCCCGGACTCGAACAATACGGAAGCCCCGACTCAAAATAGCGTATTCGACGTACGAGGGTCGATCGACTACGTTCATCGAGTTTGTTTCGCGCGGGGAGGGTGCACGGGGGTTTCTAAGATGTGCTCGAAGAACGTTACAAACGGCCTTTTAAAACGTTTCGTGTATTCCGACCCATTAGGTCCGCCGAGCGTGACACGAACCGAGGAGGAGGACTCTGTGCCCAAAGTGGTTGTGACGAAGATCGAGAGAAAGAGGGAGACCTTGGAGAGACACGTGCCGCAGCTGCTGCTGAGGGGAGAACAGGTCGCTATAATCGTCAAAATCAATTGACTCGGTGAATACGTCCCGACGACGGACGGGGAACGGACGTCGCGATCCGTCGAGGCTGTCGGCGAACGGCACCGACATCTTGTTATTTTTACTCCTCAACTCTGCCTAGGATTTTTGTACGCTCGCAGATAAATAAAGATAATATCGAACGAAACTCCCCTCTCATCCTTGTCATAAAATTCTAAAACGATTTTTAACTATATCGTGTTACGGAAAAGTTCCACGAGTAGTTTTCCAAGCACGATCGAGACCTGGAAGCGATCGAGTCGTAACTTTCTCGCGACGTGGACGCAACGAAAACAAAAGTTAATCCGCGAAGCGTCTCCGCGGCTCGCGACGAGCGAGACAGACTGTCTCTAACGGGATCGAGAGAGAGAAAAATGGAGCCAGGAAGAAAAAGCGGCCGCTAATCCGGGCAGCGTGACCATCGACGAAGAAGTTGCACGGAAGAAAGTAAATTCGCGATTGTTCGTACGGTTGTGTCGCCGCCGCCGCGAGCTGGCTCGCGCTTTTTCTTCAGGCAGCGCTCGTTGCACGCGAACGGTCGCTCGCTCTCTCCCCTCGCGTGCTCGCGGAATGCGCATCCTGGGAAATAAGAAAGTTTCGGTGGATTAGACGGACCGGTAGAGGTCTCGAGGACATTGACAGCGATTCGAAATTCGCTCCGTTTTACGGGGATCACGGAAAACGTAACAGTTCCCTGGGAGAAGAGGATTCAGGCTGCAAATAATCGATTTTATCGAGGAATTGCGATTGATAGCCCCTAAAGGTTTATAGTAGCGATGGATATGCGTTTTACATTTCTATTACATTGCATTAAAAATATACGTCTGTGGAAGATTGGATTGGTCGAACGCAACACAGTAGGTGTCTCGTTTAGAAGCCCCTATCGCACCGGCATTCCTTCCCATCTGTACAACCTAATTCGTACCAATCTTGTATCACTCCGCTAACGTTCATCCTACTCGTTCTCAATTGCACCTATCAATTCTGTGCACCTAAATTTCAACCACTACCGCGACCCCCTTTCCTTTCGACGTACATACGTACTCTACGAGCTTATCTAAAAAATACTCTAAAGACAAAGATAATGCGTAATCTCGCTTAAATTATTTCCATAACGAGTGATAAAAGAATTTGAAACACAAGTTGCAGTATTTTCTAGTTCAACTGACCCGATCTCGGGACTTCTCGAAGCGCAAGGAATAGTTTTAGTTCATGTAAGACGTTTAGAGATCGTTCCGTGGGGACCGATTCTCCCCTGGATTCCGTGCATCCCTTCTTGGGACGTACTCTCTATCGGGCCCGGTTGTATCCTATAATTACGGTATTTTTGTTCTCGCGAAACAAGCACGATATCGCCGATAGGGCCAGCATAGTTTCTACGCCGCGGAAAAGTGCATCGGCGTCGGGCCCCACGGTGAAAGCAACAAGCCCCCTGCCCCGCCGCGCCGCTGGGCCAGTCGAGGGGCGTACGGAGGCCCTCTCACTTTCGCTCTCCGGAGAAAGTCCGGCCGTCGTCGCCGCACGACCGTCCCCCACCCCTCGGACCGCTGACAATCCTCGTCCCGCCGCCTTCTGCCCCCGGAACCCTCGCCCTTCACTATCACGGCCCACGGTTCTTCCTAAGTCGCCCCTGACTTCGCAAAAGCGCTCGCCAAGGCACGACTCCTAGAGGCTGTCGTAAGCGCGACGAGGAGAACCCGAGAAAGGGAGAACACCCGTCGGAGGAGGAGGAGGTAGAAGAGGAGGTGGAGGGGTAGGTGGTGTTCTTCTCTTCGTACCTCCCCCTCTCTGCCGTTGGTTCCCCTCCGCCCCGCCACCCGGCACTTGTGCACTTCTTCTACGGTGTGCTCTCGAGCCGACGGGGGTTAATGCACTCCTAGAGCAAGCCATAACCTTAGCCGGGGCCTCGGACGAAGCGCGGGAATCTCGACTGCGTCGCGCTGCGCGCCGATCTGCGCGGATGTTTACGGAATCGGTGTGATCGATAATCGCGGCAACGGGAAGACACCGCCAGGTTTTACGTAACCGGGAGGGTGCGCGTACCCACGGACCCTACGACGCGCGTGTACGCGCCCTGCACGCGAGTCCCGAGAAGCGTCGCGGAATTCCTCGGCCCCCCCCCCCCGGGGACGCATCGATCCGCCTCTCTCGCGAGACGACGTTTCCCACCAAGCCATTTTCGTTCCTCCAAAAATCTCTAACCGCGCATCCCGTACGTCGTGTTCAAAATCAAATTTATTATTTGCGTTGAAATACCGAGCGCGAGAGATGGAAACAAACTCGAGGCGGTCGAAGATTCACGAACAGATTGTACGCGGAGAAAGTTAGGTCAGGAATATAGGAACTACTCGGGATAAGCATTTTACCTGCAGGTTCGAAGAGAAGTGAGCGTTCGACTAACAGATTGTAATAGCGGAGCGTAGTATGAGAGAAGGATTCAGAGAATTTTAATATCCCGTATAAAATTTAGCGCAGGGTGAAGGTAGGGTGACGGTGTGCAGCATGCTCTGCATTGCACCGCGTATTGAAATGCACTTTCAGCTCCGGTCTCACTATAAATTGCATCGATCCTCATCGATGCTCTAGGAAGTTATCGTCGGTAAACAATGTTTTGGCGCCATCGCCTAGAAAACAAACTCGGAACGACGGCTAACGATCCTCTCCCGTTCATGCAACTTTCGTGCATAACGTTTCTTTACGCGTGTGATTTACAAGCTACTCAAGGCAAACGTGTTACATGCCTCACCCTATATAGCAATGTTCTATAAAATGTAGATAGATCGTACCGGGTAATTCTAGAAACTGATTTTTTGCTCGTTTCCAAGCGGACGGTGCAAACAATTGATACAACGAATATGCACGTCGAATCCCGAGTACTATCTTTTAATTGTACAATTTTTTGTTTTGATGCAACGGTGCAAACACCGTATGCACATGCACGATGCTTCCGTCAAGAAATATTTAAATATTGCAGAAATATATCGCGTTGAAGATCCCGGGCGAAAGACACTGTGCAGTCGCGGCGGTTCGTTCGAACCGATAACAGAAAAGTTAAGATAAAAATTAATTACTGGTGTATAATAGCTGCTCGAGTTAAAATTTGAAACGAAAAATGTAAAGAAGCGGGCATCAATACCTGGCGGAATTATTTCTTAACGCAGAATGCGAAGTATCTCGTAAAATATTATGTTTTTAGCGACTTCCGTAAGCAAAGATGAATGGCTCCGTTTAAAAGACGTTGCAGAACGTTCTGATCGCGAGACTCAGCTTTTCGTCGTACCAATTGCTTTTGTCTTCGTTTAGTAAATAGCTACAGGTTGTCCTACTTTCTACAATCGCCTTACATATTAATATTCTATAAGGCGATGGTATAAATAGAAATAACTGTGTATGCAACAAAATGTCTTGCTAGTTAAATTGTACGTTCACGCAATCTGGACTGTATCTTCAAGACAAGTAAAAATAGCGTCGATAGATGAAATCCTAGTCGTTGTTCATGGATTAGTTATGGTATAGAAAACATCTTTTCCCCAACACTGTAGTATTGGATCAGACAGTCAGACTATCCACGATCTACTAACGACACGCTTCAAACCTATCAACAAACCCCGATGCAACTATCGAATGTTTCTAATCGTTAGTCCATGGTTCGAACAAACGTCGAGGATATAATTCATCCCCGGAAACAGGAAACTTTCGATCGATCTTTGTTTCCGTTTGCAACGCAAGACCTACGCAATCTCTGCGTCGGGGCAGACGTTGGAGCGCAGCGTGACGCAGCGCAGCATTTTACAAACGGCGTAAAACAATCGCGAGCCGCACAATGTCGCGTGACTCACGGCGTCGAAGGACTGATTAACGCAGAAACTGCGTGGGCATCGCGGACAAGGTGCAGTTCCTTCGACCGACGGTCTCGATCCGAAAGATATCGAAAGTACAGTTTAGATATCGCAAATATTGAATTTGACTCATAACTTATTTTCTCGCGCGAAAAGATTACGCTTCGCGGAACCTGTCTGCTCGTAAAACATTACTACCTGGCGAGAAAAAAAGTTTGCTTTTCGTTGACCGGCTGCACATCGAAAACACGACGATGGGGGGAAAAATTGGATAACCGGCGTAAGAAGAATGTCGGATGTTGCGGGAATGGGGTACCATTCTCTGGAGAATGCTCCGCGAGCGGTTACTCTATCCATACCGTATCCAAATGGGTCTCGTTGAAACGACCGACACACATTTCACCGACCAGAATTCACCAACACAGTATTAACCGACGACAGCATTAGCCGACAACAATAATGACCGAGATATACATTCTATGCGTGGGCAGTGATACACATAACAGTGGATAAATAGCACGTACAGTTCGGAGTTGGGCAAACTTTGTTCGCGAACGACGAATATAAATTTTAGATTCATTCGTAACTCCTATTCTTCCAGATTGTGTTTGCGTTAAACGTATACACATACGGTTCCCCGATTATCCGGGGCATATTTAGGAATATTATTTTTTATTAATAAATTGTAATGCTACGTTACCAACGGTTGTGTTTATTCAAAATCAAAAACAGAAAAAAAAAAACAGGCGGAGAAATTTTTCGACGAAATTGAAAAATTTCAAATCGTTCCAAAAAAATTATTTTTCGTTGCAGGGGTTGGTTACAATTATTTTTTTGTGGGTAGACGTACCCCCGAAATCCTACGCACTTTCGAGAGAAAAATTCAGTAAGTACGGAAACTTTTTGAAAAAATTAAAAAAATTCAAATCGTTCTAAAAAAATTATTCTTGATTGGTGGGGTCAATCGTGAACATTTTTGGTCAATAGACATACCCCCAAAATCCTGCCCACTTTCGAGAAAAAAATTCAGTAAGTGCAGAAACTTTTTGACAAAATTAAAAAAATTCAAATCGTTCTAAAAAAATTATTCTTGGTTGCTGGGGTCAATCGTGAACATTTTTGGTCAATAGACATAGACCCAAAATCCTGCCCACTTTCGAGAAAAAAATTCGAGTAGATACTGAAATTTTTAGACGAAATTAAAAAATTTCAAATCACACTACAAAAATTATATTTAGTTACAGGAGACAATTACAAGCATTTTTTATCAATAGACATACTCCCGAAATCCAGCTC